TAGTCCATTTGATAATTCAGATGCTGTGTGAGAATATCGTGCATTAGCCATATTACCAGTAGTTGTCCAAGTACTTGTTGATGGATCATACAGCTCAGCACTATTTAAAATATTACCATTGTCATCAACTCCACCAGTAACTAATACTTTCCCATTTGATAATACAGATGCTTTGTGAAAACCCCGTGCATTAGTCATGTTACCAGTAGGTGTCCAAGTACCTGTTGATGGGTCATACAGCTCAGCACTGTTTAAAATATTACCATTGGCTCCACCAGTAACTAACACATTTCCATTTGATAATACAGATGCTGTGTGATAATATCGTGCATTATTCATGTTACTAGTAGTTGCCCAAGTTCCTATTGATGGATCATACAACTCAGCACTATTTAAATGACCAGTATCACCCCATCCACCAGTAACTAATACTATCCCACTTGATAACCTAGATGCTGTGTGATACGCTCGTGCATCATTCATATCTCGAGTATAAAGCCATCCTAGAAGTTACATTTTTATATATTTAGACTATACAACATTAAATAATCAAACAATCAACATTCATTAGTCTTGTACACAATATTTTTCATTCTTCGAAAAACAACAGTCTTTGATATGTCTCTTTTATGTCGCCTCAAACTAATGTAGACCAAGAATAGTAGTCAAATGTATTATATAAATTCTCTTCATATGTGATTATCACATCTTCAGTTTTCTATGTTCCCTACTTCCTTTGTCATCTCAATCAAATATATAAAAAATGTCTGCCTCAAATCGACCACTGTGATAATTACACTGACTGATGTATTTTTCAATTCTTTACAAATTTTACAAGCTATGCTTGAAAAATATTTAATAGAATGAAAAGTTAGAACTTCTCATCAACTCTTTTATAGTTCTCTGGATATTATAATCAAAACAAAGATAATCAATATTATTGCTTAAATCGTGTCTAACATATCTATAAATTAATATTACTAGGACAACGACAGTAATAGAAAAAGTAGAAATAAATACGAATATGGAACTTAGCAAAATATAAATTTTACTTGAGATGATTTATCATAACGATCTGTATACTTCAATTTATTCATTTACATTAATTATCTTGTTATTTTATCCAACGAATGTAAACACAGGAAAAATGTTACAAAAGTTTATCCCACAATATTTTAGCTCAAACACAAAGACATTGAATTACTATGAAACTATAATCCCTTATTCTACCAACAAAATGATATATGGAATTGTATTAATATATTATTTAATAACTAAACTAAAAACTTCAGCGTGGTTCAGTTCCTCATCTCTTTCGTTTCTGTTGTTAATTAACAATCCATATCACAAATATATCTCAGTCTATCTGTTACATTAGCTTTCGCTACAAGAGCACTATCACTCGCCATAGGTTTTATACAAGTGAACGAATGATACTTTATCTACACCTATGATTAAAATACATTGTTCTAATTGATTTAATGAAGCCTCAAATGTAAATAATATGTATTCGTACCTGTGTTACACATTTGTATTGCTAAGAATGGTAAACATACTGCTTGTGGTGAACAACACGAATTAATAACACACACTGAATTATTTGATGAACATGTTTGTGTAATATTATTACATCTTTCTAATATTGAACATAAAATACCAAGTGCACAATAACTAATATTATTTATTGTTCGATAATCATAACATGGTGTTGATGATGAACGACAATTATTGTTATCATTCAAACTTGTATTACATTGTTGTAAAGCACAATTTGCTGTTGAATTCCATGCTGAATGAGCTGATGAAGATAATGTAAACTGAATAGAGGCATTATTTTCACTACAAGAATAATTCGGTGGTTGTGTAGTTTGTCCTATAGAATTTATTTATATTATATGATAAAATCAAATGAAAAAGGATAATCCAACAAACCTTTTACAGACGAAAGAGATATAATGAAAAACAAGACAATGATAGACCGCATTACTTTTTGTGTGATGAATGAAAAAAAAGTATGGCGTAGCAATGAGTGATTTTTCTTTACTCTTTTTTTCTATCACTTCCTAAATTTCTCTTTTAGCTGAAAGAGCATAAAACTGTTTGTCTTAACATTTGTTTGTGTCCTTGGAGTCTAAAATGCATTCCTTTTATTCTGAGTAGTTTATGTGTTTACATGTTTTTAAAAGTTGATTTTTTCAGCGTTTGCCGCAGAAAGACTCTTAAATATCTATGATTTTCATTTCATCAACATTTTATTTCATGATCTGTTTTTGTTTTCGTCAAAGACTGTTCTCTTTCGTTCTTTCATCATAACTAAAATCATAACATTTCTTCAATCGAAGTTTAAAACATCATCGTCATATGAATTTATTCGGTTGATGAAAGTAAAAGAAAACTTTATCTGAATAGATTCATATTCACTCGATAATTTTTTCTATAACAATTTATTCATTACACATAAGTCTTCGAAGGAAAATAAGAGATTCGATTATTATTTTCATATTCTTTTCATCATTTTTATGTCCTTATTTTTCATGTGATTATATTTTTTTGAAAAACATTATTCTTGCATAGAGAAAAAAATATTTTGAATAAAATCATCAAATATGTAAATAATTTAGTTTTCGTTAGTAATAGAAGTTTCTAAGTAAGGAGTTTAATTCTTGTTCATGTAGTTATTATCCTTAGCTGGGTCGGTGTGAATGCAGATGAATAATAGACACCTCACCCATCCCAGATCCACATACATTCTTATTACACTTAATTGTTGTCTATCTTCAAAAAATGTAATATTAACTATACATAAAACAGTTGCTTTTTTAAAGTTTTTGATGCATATTTTCATTATTACCAGTGATAGAACCTCTTTTAGAATCTTCAGGTTGAACACTTTATATTTTTAATGCAACATCATGAGTACCTTTGTATAAAGTATAGTGTTATTTTATATCGATTTGGTAACTGTTAATATGAAAACTCTAGCATGCTCAGTCTGAATTATAGCTACTGTAATATGAAGTATAAACGGCAATTTTATTCGCTAATTTCATCTTTCGTTATAAGAAGAATATACAATTAATACAAGGATTTTTAGAACATTATTGACATAATTTGGTACTGAGTGAGAGATGAACTGTCACTAAGGTTTGTTTGATGATGGTATAGCTAAAAAATATTTAAAGACGACTAAAATTTCTCTCTATAACAATCCATCTGTAAGATAGATGATTTTATAATGCTATTTGTTCATGAAAATTCTTTCTGTTCATCAATAAAGTATTATAATCCATTTTTGTTCCAGACAAATTGATTCTATTAATACTTAACTATATATCAAATATATAAAACATCATAGATTATATGACTCGAAGCCGTGAATTATATGAAATTTTTAATAAAACATTTTTCAAGCTATAAACTAAAAATATTTACAATATCTTTCTTTTCAAAAAATTTTATTATTGGTAATGGAATTGAATTAATCCGCAGATCTCTAATTCGATATAAATTACAACATTTGTTGTCATATCCATCATATGTTATTAGAAAACTTATAAATAGATACTAGACTAATTCTACTATCGAATAAACTTTTTTCTATGTCATGAATATCAATATGACTTGTACATTCTATTAGACAGATTTTAACTTGACAAAAACATTTCTTTTTCTCTCTATGAATCAAATAAAACCTTCTGGATACTTTTTTACTTCTCTATTTATTCGATACATTAACATCTGTTCTTTTATTAACAAATAAAACTCCATACGTCTTTTCTGCATTACAGATTAAGCAATAGTAGTCTACTCTATTAAGTATATAATTATTTTGTGATGTATATCTCTCTTCAATTCATATATCTGATAATAAAAGATAAGTATATATCATTGATTATTTATTGAATATTATTATTTATTTATTCATTTATGTATTGAAATCATTCGATAAAATATTTGAGAATAAAGAATGACTGTTGATTATTGCTCAAGAAAGAAGAAAAAAAAGGGATCATTCTTGAAAATTAATTGAGAACATCAAATACATCAATACGATTCGGACGAATTTCACCAACGAATAATGCATGACCACTTACACTTAAAGCTATATCATGTGGTTCACCAAATTTCTAAACAAATAACATATTTATTTTAATTATTTCTATATTAATAAACGAATACGAACCTCATTTGGTTCCCAAGTAGCAATCAAACCACCAAATGATTCTGGATGAGCATCAAATGTAAAACCAACTGCTCGATTTTTTCCACTTTTACCACTGACTGCATAAAGACGATCTATTGAAAAACAATCATTTATTAATATTAAATTTTTTTTTTTTTGAAATAAAATCCTACGTTTATTTGCATCATAAGTAATAGCATAAACTGTTTTCATTAATGGATGATCAATAATAGCTTTAACATTACCTTCATTATTTTCTCCATCATCAAAACAAACAATTCTATCATAGAAATAAAAAATTATTTTTTTTATATTCAACAAAATTTTTACCGTCCATTTTCACGATCAGCAACACAAACGAGACCAAGTGATTCAATAAGAATAATACTATGCGGAATTGCGAGTTGTTTTTCTTCATCAGGCATTGTATATTCTTTTACAAATTTTCCTTTTGAATCAAGTTTCACAATACGAGAATTACAATATCCATCAGCAACATAGCTATTTGAACCATCATTTGATACAGCAACATCAGTTGGTTTACAGAAATGTTTTGAATCACTACCAGGTACAAATGCTTCACCTAATGTTAATACAAGTTCACCTTTTGAATATTTGAAAACCTTTGAAAAACATTTATTAAAAGTTTGAGAAAAACATAAGAATAATTTTACTTGATGCATTGCAACATCGGTTACCCAAAGATTTCCTTCTGTATCAATAGAAAGACCATGAGGCATGGAGAATCTGAAATATAGATTATTGTATTTATTTTTATTTATAATCAAAAGACTTACGTATTATTTCCCCATTGATTAACGATTTGACCAGTTCGAGTATTGATAGTAAGAATTGTATTTTCTGGAATGGCACCAAATTTCTTTGTATCGAAATTACGACCATCAGGAAATGATCTTTAATAAGAAATTTATATAACAGAACAGAAAAGAAACAAACTCAGCGTTTGTTATTTAATTATTTATGTATCAATTATTGAAACAAACCGTTATCACTAATTGCTTTCAACTCTCTATCTATGTATATATATATCTTGATTCATCTTAAGGTTATTCTTCAGGTGATGATTCTTTTTCTTATATTTCAGATCAATATTATTGTCCTGTTCCTCAACCGCCTCCTGCTGGCTATTATACTTTTCAACAACTAGTAAGTAGTCCAATATATTCTTCTTCTTCTGTATTTCAGATTCGTCCAGAAAAAACTCGTCGTTTTTCTCCGGAACAAATTCAAATTCTTGAAGAACATTTTTATAAAGTAGATAAATATGTATCAAAAACAACAATCGATGACCTTTCAACTCGAACTCAACTGACACCAGCTCAAATTCGTGTTTGGTGTAATAATTAATTTTTTTTTCTTTTAATTAAAAAAAAATAACTTACTCTTGAGTCCATTCTCTTGATGCTCGATGAAAAACAATTAATCGATTAGGATTTTTAACACAACCAGCAACACCACCAACTTGACCAAGTTTATATTCATGTTGAGCATCTTCATCTGATGATATAATATTTAATGGTTTATTTGCAATGACTTGATAAGTTATTTCCTACGAGAAAGAAGTATTTATTTTAATTCATATAATATTTCGATATTTACTTCATCCGAATTACTGGCATCAAGAAAACTAGGTTGAAATGCTCGGGCATTTATATTCAAAACAAAAGAAAGCAAAACAAGGAGAAGGGTAAGACGTTCCATTATGAAATAATTCTCCTTGCGCCGATGACAATCTATAAAAAAGAATGAGAAAAAGAGAAAAACAACATTCTATGACATAGTTTTTTTTTCGCTTAGTCGTTCGCTCGTTCATCTCGTCGACAAAGTAATAGTAGAAAAGAAAAAAAGCGCTAGAGAAAATAGTTCAGGATATTTTCTCCGGGTTGTTCTGTGCTGTGGGCGTCAATCGTTCGATGAATCATATCAAGTAATGAGAACAGAAGCATATGTTGTTTTTTTTTCTTTCTCGTCAAACATAGTACTTCGAATAACATGATAATTTCTATGTTATAATCATTATTTTTTTTTCTTATTTAAAAAAAAACGCAAATGATAAAAATTTTTAAAATGTCTTATGTAATAGTTTCTATTCTGATAATTGATGGTCGATCATTCGTTTGACTTAAACAATGATTTCCTAAATAAAAATCAATATCTTGATAATCATTTGACATTAATTCTCTATGATTTTGATCAATAAGAACAAATAAATTTATTTGTATATCATTGGTTAATTGTGATGAATATAATCTTCGAACAAGTGTTTTTAATTTTGCTATTGTCGTGGATGGTGGAATTTGCTTTTCAATTTTTCGTTCGTTTTCATCGCCTAATTCAAATATAACTTTTAATAACTTCGAACGAATATTAAGACCTTTTTTTGATGTCTAAAAAAGAAAAAGAAAATGTTTTTTTCAATAACGGGAAAACACAAAACAATCGATTATCGAGTGTTAACTATTGTTATTTCGATCTCTACTGTGAATAGTAGGAATAAATTCAAATTTAAGTGTTTTTCTTCAAGAGATAATATGAGCTAAATGTCGCTTTTTCATGTAGATAATTTCTTCTAGACGTTGGGCCCACTTTTAAAAAATGTCATCAATTACCAAAAGATTTCTTGAAAATCAGCACAACGTCCAGAAGAAATTACTTACATAAAAAAGCGATATTTAGTTCATAGAAACTCTCAAAAAAAAATTGTATCGCATCTTTTTTTAGAAAATTTGTTAAAAGACTGTCGTCCCATGCGGAGCCTTGTTATTTATGCTTTTCTCTAAGAGATTGGATTAATAAAGACTAACAGTGGCGTGAAAAACTAATTACTATTTGTTATACAAACTTCGTTTAAAACTAGTTCCTCGAGTTATTTATAAATGTTAGATACTGAGTGGATGTATGTATTAAGATTGGTATTATTCGAAACGTATTTTGTAGTTTCATACAAATGGCTCATACTTCAAATGTTACCTGTGTATGAGCTGATCGATCGATTAACTTACATTACTGCACTAATGATTATCGCGAAAGCACTTGGAACTGCCTGTACACTAAAAAAAAAGGCGTCCTACCAACCTATTTTTGCAAGGAAATCGGAACCCTTAAAAAGATTTCGTTAAACATCCAAGATACGTTCATATCATGTTTTAACTGACAAGAAACCTTTTTAGGGTTTCGCGAGACCTACGAAATCCTTCAATTTCTTGTCAATTAAAAAATGATTTGAACGTATCTTGGATGTTTTACGAAACCTTCTTTAGTTTTGAAGTGCACCTTTTTTTTCGGTGTATGATGAAGACCTATAAAATTTTCAAAATCTAAGGACTGTGATGTATTGATGCTAATAAAGTGGATTGTCTGCTACGCATAGGCGGAATCATTCTCGAACTACTCGATCATCAGGCTACTTGAATTATTTGATATAGTGTCCGTTGAGCGAAAACCATATCAGCGAAAAAGAATGCGCGAAAGTCACAACTGCGAAACACCTTTTACCCCCACCCTCACTCTTCGTCTATACCCTCATCAAGAAAAATCATTTCGGTCATTTACCCTCACACTAACTGAAGTATAGAATATTTTGTATAATTTCAAGAATAATATAATATTCTAACCTCATTGGGATTTGATTTTAACGGTTCTCCATGTTTTTCGATTAATTTTTTATATTGTTTATGTTCATTAAGAAAATCTAATTTATTTTCGAAATATTCTTGAGCATAACGTTGTAAATAATCAATTTCAGCTCCACGTCTTTCATCTCGACTAATAAAAACTCGATTTAAATGTGTTAAATTTGGTAAACGTGCAAGTATCATTTGTTTAGCTGTTTCACATTCAATTTGATTCAATGGATAAATTGGATTTCGAAGTATACTAAATGATATTAATGATGATAAACAAGTTAATTCATTTATTGATGTATATGATGAAATATTATTATCAGACATATAAAGATATTTTAATGAAGGAAATAATTCAATTGTTTGATCTTAAAAATAAATAAAGAATTGGAAAAGAAAGAAAAACAAAAACGATCAATACAAACTTTCTTGAGGAAATTTAATTTCCTCAATTCCACAATTATTAAGAATTAATTCTTCAAGATATTTAAGTTTTCCTAATCGATTTACATATGGATCCCAAGATTTTAATGTTGGATTATCTGATAATGATAAATTTGTTAAATTTTGTATTTGATTAATAAAATTTTCTGATATAAAACTTAATCGATTTAAATCAAGATGAATATTTATTAAATTTGGAAAATGTTTACATAGATTTTCAAATACATCACAATCATTATCTGTATCAATAACAACTAATTGTGTTATATGAATATATTTATTTAATGCTGATGATTTATCAAAATTCATACGAGAATTACTAACATTTAAAATTTCTAATTGTGGAAAATGTTTTTCTAATATTACCCATAATTCTGACCAATTTTTAAGTAAATTTTGACGAATATTTAATTCTTTTATTTGTCGAAGATTATTATATATATCAGCATTATTATCAAATTCATTTACCCATTGAGATGATAAATCTATACGAATTATTGATGATAAATCAACAACATAATCAGAATATTGTTTACCTAAAAATATAAGATAGAATTTAATTTTCAAAACCAGTAGATTTTCTGACGATACATGAGTATCCGTTTTGGGGACAATCTGATGACTAGAATATCTAGTTTTAATGGGTGTCTTTTTTTTAAGTGAAAAAATTAGTAAAATGATAGCTAATCGGCTCCATTTGTTCTTTGATACTTAGATTTATATTGCTGACGCCTAATTGTGAGTAAAACATGTACTGAAAGCCAATGGAACTGTTCATATACTTTCCTCGTCATTCAGTTAGAGTGAACTATCTACTTGTAATAGTTATTTTAAATTTTAGTTTTTCTTATTTTGATTGACTTTAAACGTTAGAAAATTGGACCATCTAAATGTTTATATGTGCTTTACTTTTTCAATAAAGACAACTTATTATAATACCAAGATAGACAATAACATGATTATTATAGAACTGAAACAGCGAATATTCTCTTTTTTGGGTACTCAATTATCTACCACTAAGATTGGTTCTTTTAGCATAGTATACTAAATAGAATTGCTGTTCAGACAATGTTTACATACACTTCTGCATGACTGATTTTGACTATTAGCTTAATTTGAAAGGAAAGAAACAATCTTATTGTGTATACTAATCTGATCTCAGTAAAAGATTTTTCCCAAGTAGTACATGAAATTGTCTTTTATAGTTAAGACATACTATTCTGCTTGAATATTTGATCTTCAAATCAATTTTCAATAAAATACTGTATTTTCTTAAATCTGATGTACACAGTTAAATAATTCTATACTAACCGAATAATGAATAATTAATATCATCTGTAATATTTTCATTTGAAAATGATTTAACATATTGTCTACAAATAGCTTGAGTAAATGAATTTCCATATTGTATTCTTTCTTGTCTGATAAATGATCCTGTTAATTGATGTTTTGTTTGAAAATAAAATTTGTCATTATAGGTTCCATTATGTTTTCCTTCTTGATGCCACCATTCAATACCAATCCATTGTCCTGGATGACCATCAACTAAACCAATATAACAAATTGTTGCTGGAGATTTTCCATCAACTAAAATATGATCACCAATTTTCATCTAAAATATATATATAGTTACTATTTTTTCTTTCATTTATTTATTTAAAGATCATCATCAATATTAGGTAAATCTAAATGTTCGTCATCAAAATTTTTTTCTTCTTTATTTATTTTTATATTTTGTTTTTGTTTTTGTTTTTGTCGTTTAAATGGTTGATTAAATGCTTGATATAATCTTTGAGCTTTTAATGTTCCTAAACCTGGACAAACACATAATTGTTCATTTGATGCATTTAATAATGTTTCCAATGAATTAAATGCATGTAATAATGTTTGAGCATCTGTTTTATTAACTGATTTAACCTGAAAGAGAAAAAAACGTTTTCTTGTAAATTGATATAATTCGAATTTAAATAGTAAGAAACGAACTTGTGTCATGACATCAATAAGTTTTGTTAAATAATCTGTTGATTGATGTTGTTGTGTGTCCATTAAAGTTTCAGCTGATTTACCTTCCATAATTCTGTATGTTTCCAAATATCTTGCTGATTCTTCATCAGTCCAACTAACCAAAAGTGTTAAATCATAAAGAATACAAAGACGTGCTAATTCTTTTAATGATTGTGATGGATCAGTTGTATCACATTGAATAAGTAAAATTTTTAGCTGATATGGTAATTTATTTGCTTTAAGCCGATCATATATATAATTTGGATTTAATGTATGATAACGAAGAGATAAAAATAATGCACATGAACTACGACTCATAGAATAATCAGCACCACCTAATATCATATCACTATACTCCCATTTAACTTGACGAAAATGTTTTAATAAAGGATTTCCACGTTGACGAGAATGAACAAGTAGTGAGGATGAAGATGGTGGTGGTGGTGGACGAGGAGATGATACTGTAACTAAATAAGAAATTAAAAATTATTATTGTATAAAAAAAGATGCGAATTACTTGGTGGTTCTGTATTAGTAATTGTAGTCGATGGAATTGTTACATTTTCATTTACTATTACTGTTGAATTATCAGTTTTCATACGTTTAGCAAATAAATTAGGTGCTGCTGTTTCATTATCATCATCATCATCAAGATCTGGAATAGTATACGAATGAGCTGCCATTGTCAGAATTTTGAAGTATATGTATTGAGAATATAGTTGTCAAGAAAAACGAAGATCATCATTATATCCACAATGGATGATTTTTTCACCATTTAATCAACTGTCAATAATAAAGATGTCGCTTGTTGTCTCGTTCATATTTTTTTTTTTAATGTTCGTATAGATCATCTCTTCTTATTTGATCTTAATTTATAATTATAATCAATAATTCAATGGCTTTAACTTACAGTTTTTTTTATTAAAAAAAAAAGAATACAAAAATAATTATGACGATGTGAAAGCATAAAAACGATCAAATATAATCGATAGTTGATATTTGATGACTGAGTTTTTACTAACGAACTATTTATGTACATTTAAATATTATTACATATACGATATATGATATGCTGATGCTTCACCTGGTGAAGACTGTTCTGATGACATATTACTTGAATCACTTGCTGATGAAGTATTTCGTTGAGTTAATGTGTCTTTTTCATAGAAAAGTACAAGGAGATAATTTTTTACGAGATATCGTCTTTTCCATATAAAAAATAATATAGCCAGAATACTAATAATTCCACAAGTCAAAAATAATCCAGCCATAGATTCAACTGACATAGCACTAGATGTATCAGATGGATGAGAACATATATTTGTTTCAAACCATTTAGTTGTTAGATTATCAAATAGACCTGCCTCTCTTAATGACAAAATAGCTAGATCTAAATCTTGATCATATAACCAATTTTTCTGAGTAGCAATACCATATGCACTTTGATCAAAATCGGAACCAACCACAGTTAAATTACAATATATATTATTAATTATATATTCTGCAGTACCAGCATCAGTAATAGTCGCATCAATAATACCATTCAATAGAGCAACATATACATTTGTTTTTGATGTTATTGGATAATAATTTCGACTACCACTAGAAACTTCTCTTAAATAATAATCTTCAATAGATGAACCAACACGAATACCAATACGACTATATGCAACTTTTCCATTTTTAATATCATCTATTCCAGAAATACTACTTGCCGACTTTAACAATGTTAGATCAGATGCTAAATTGGCAGTATATGCAGCAACTAATATCAAACTTAAAATATATAAACTAGCAGTTAATATTCGACCAGGAGCTGTCGTTGTCTGAAAATCTGCACTTTTACCCATAATTGTACTGGAAGAAAACCACATACTCATTCCAATTAGAGAAACTATTGATCGATTTTGTAATGCTTCATTTTGTCGTCCTTCTAATATATATACTAGGATACCAGCATAAATAGCAGCACCTAATATACTTATCCATAATTTAAAAGAAAATGGTTTTAAATATGACCATAGATCTAACTTGACGCTAGCTGCATCTCTTACAACGACACGTAATGAGTTATCATATATTGTACTCGAAAAACCGACTATTTCTCTTCTTGCTGCAGTAATTGTTACATCACCTATAAACAAATCAAAAGTACCATTTGCTACTAAATTAACTAGATCATCGTATAAGGCATTTGCAGAAAAATAAGTAATATTAGGAATGAAACCCATTCGATTTTTTAGTTCGTCAATAAGATCTGGTATATATCCAGTTAGTTTTGTTGATATGTTTCCAGAAGCATCTTGTATTTCTGACATCATTGTAAATGGAACTGAATCGATAACAGCAATTCGTAAGGTTAAACCCAATAATGCTGCAAATCCGGTAGGAACTGTTGATGAATTACCAGGCCAGACTATTTCATTCGTTTGTGTATTTGTTGTCCATCCATCTGAATTAGACCATACCAATACGGGGACATAATTCAAACTAGATGAAGAATGTTGAATATTTCTTGCAATATAATAAGTGCCATTTATTCGATCAGTCGAGGTATTTGAGAATTGTATAGGACCAGAAACACCAAGAAATGAAGTATTATCAAGGATATTAATAAACATATCAGAATTAACAAAACGACGATTGAAACAGAATGAATCACCAGTGAATGTCATACATGTTGTTGAAATATTAGGATAAGATGAACAAAGTTGATTTAGTCCTTGAATTAACGACCAAGTAGCATCAAATGCAAATATTGCATAGTAATCAACTTTATCTGCTCCAGGAAATGTTTGTGGTTCATATTGTTGCCATATACTATATGCTGCATTTAATAATGTTGTGTTTATTGGAGCATTTACAACACTACCTGGAACTGGTTCAACAGTGATCATTCCACTTAACTTAGTATAAGAGGTGCTATTGAAACTATCTAATGTAGCAGGGACACTTAATATCCATGTAAATACTGGACCAAGAAGATCTAAATCAAGTGCATATTGTATAAATACAGATGAATATGCTGAGTCCATCCAAAGTATAATAACTCGTATTGAACTATTTTTTAAAAGACTTTTTAAGTCACCACGAATAGTACGAGTCACAATATCAAACATGATCATTTGTGAAACTATTAACTTCTGATTACTAAATATATCAGTTATTGCTTGTACACCACCTGTTCCATATTCATCATTCTGATAGATAATAATACATGATGTCCAATTAAATCGAATGAAAAATTGAGCCATTGCCAATGCAGTTGTATTATCTGATGAAACTGTACGATAGAATGTAGGATAAACAATACCATCAGATAATGCTGGATCAGTTGATGCGTATGATACGACAGGAATACCGATTTTTGCAGCAAAAGGAGCAATAACCACCGATTCGCTTGAAAGTCCTGAACCTACAATGCCAGCGATATTTGAAGTTGAAATTATTTGGCATGTATCTGCAAGAGCAGTCATTGGATCACCTACAGTTTCTACGGCTTGCCAACTGATATTCTGTCCTTGAATAGTCATATTATATTGTTGAGAGAGTAATATGGCTGATATGAACATTGCTCGACATTGAACTGACCATACAGTAGATTCAGTAATATTTGTAAGATATTCAAAGATCCCCAATACTTGTACATTTGAAGAATTGGAAGGTGGCCATGCTGTTTTTACATATGATATCACAAATTGTGCAAATAATAAATACAGCCATAACCATCGAAACTTTCCTGAAGATAACATCATACAGTACTGGTTTATAATTCAAACTTTCTAGAATAAACAAACAAACATAAAGTATTGAGTATAACATGATTTTTTTGTAGTTATATCATATTTTAGCAAATAGATATTGGCTAAACTATAGAGTAATAGAATAGGAAACAAAAACATTTCTTACCGATCGTTAATCGTTATTTACTGTTTATGATTACATGATATCTTTTTATACTCATAAGATTAAGGCGTATACATCTATATATATACTACATAATAAATTATGTAAGAGCAATATTTTACTACTCATTAATATATAAGCAAAACGAGGGGGGAGCAGTAAGTAATAAAAATATTCCTACGCTGTGTTTTTCTTTATTTATCCAATCACTAGTTGTTTTTATTTAAAGACCATAATATTCATTTGATAATGTATTATTACGCATATGTATTGACGTAAGACTAGGCAATAGATTATTATGTATCGTCAATTAATGACGTTTGCTCACCTGTACGATGATATATTTTTTTTACTGATTATTCTCGACACGCGCACGATAAAATATCTTAGTAGTCAGAATATATTCGATAAATATATTATATTTTTTTATAGCAAAAAAAAATCAAAAAATACATCAGAGACAGTTCTATATGAATGATGAATATATTTTATTGGAGAAGATATAATAAGTGTAACAATAGATATTCTGAACAATTTCTAATATAAATAAATAACAAATTCTTGAATATTTTTCAAAAGATGCACTGAAAAACTTTTATGAGTGAATCTTATAGAATTCTAAGAAACAAAAAGAGGGTGTAGGTGAGAGTTTTTGATAGGAAGGCGACGAACAGATAGTAAATGGAAGATATTAGTAGATTTAACTTATCTTTCCACCCACATCACATCCTATGAAAGTAAAGCGCTAACTTTAGTATGCGCAGTTTTAAACTTGTCTCACTCTCATTCATTTCCACCTCAATCTTCGATCTTACCTAATAACTCGTTGCCAATGATATATATGTTTCCATGAGAATAGGTCGATTGATGAGGATGAGGGTCTATCATAAACCAATCTGCTTGCTACACTTTTTATGTATCTTCAAAAACTTTACTATTATTCATCTACGAAACTTAGTGTGATAAGCATGATTCATTTAACAAACTATTTTAAGTCAAGAAAAAGTCACAGATACTGTAATCACTCTTGAATATGATCGTTAATTTACAGTTCATTTCAAACTAAATAGATAATCTGTGGAACAATTATACAAAAAAAATTAATTATAAATAATTGCCAATGTTGAATATTTAGATATAGAGATATCGAAAAATACATTGATAATATCGGAAACTAAATTAGTAACAAATAAAACATTCTTTATGTGAACGTAATAATTAATATTCGATTGAAAAAAAAGATTTGGTATCATTTTAGATTGTGTACACCATTACTTTTATTTGTTTCTTAAAACAAAAATAAATAAAAGCTGATAAAAGTGAATTATTTTCATTCATTTTTATGCAATTTTAAGTTATATTAGAATAAATAGTTATATCTTAATATTTAATTTAGTTATATAGAAATCTGACTATCTTTCTGTTATATTTGACATTAAATTATAGTAAAAATAGAGACATGTAAAGTACTTTCTTTAATAGAAATAGCATTCATGAACTGAGTATAGAGCTTGTAGACTTGAGTATTTAATATAATATTTATCCTCATCTTTTCGTGACTATTTAACAACTTATAATAAACTGTAGAATAAAGAAAAATTGAAATCATTTAATTATTACCCTCTAATGTTTTCTATTCAATAATTCTTAGAACGTTAAAGGATGATTAAGTGAAGAACAGAAAATAACGTCTAAGTTTTCTCAACTTATTATACAACTAAATATTTCGTTTTCGAAATGTATATAAAACGACAATATATCAGTTTGAAATTATTCCTTTACTTGTATAATAATTTATATTATAAATGTTTAGTTTAATCACATACTGTCATTCATTATTTTCTAAATATCAAATACTTCATTCTTATTTTTAATCTACAAAATCTAAATGTAATATAATATTTTCACCTCTTAAATTTTTTTTTTCTTGAAATTTTTTAATAATTTTATGTTTCAATAAAAATGAACATACTAGAACAATATTGAATTGGATATACATTTATTCCATAGACTATTCATGAATTAGAATCTTCAATTATCAGTTAAAGTCCACAAAGAAATATTTTAATAAACAACTCATGAATTATTTCACCTAACATATTAATTAAGTCTTTCTATTACAAAAAAGATTACAATAATGACTACAGAATTCATAGGATTTCAACTAATCTTAGTATCCACATATTTTTGTAACTATTAAATTTGATAATAACTACATGGAAAATATGGTGCAATATAATGAAATACGATTTATTTATAAAAGATTTCTAACCCTTTTCTCATTTTAATTTCGATCACTATCAACATACGAACATCACAAAATATATATATATGTAATATCAGTACAAACTTAATATATTACAATAAATAATTTTATATCATATTAACATTATTTGTATTTTTTTTTTTTTTGAATTTTTCTATATTTATTTTACATTACGAGATAATAATCTGATTGAACTGGTGATACAGATAGTATCAGAAATCTAACACATGATGTATGTTGATAACCACTTGGACGAGGTCAGTATGATTTAATATGAAAGACAAAAAAAAACAGATTAGTTTAAACTTTTGTCCTTGACTTTATCTTTATTAATATGTAAATAATATCTGTTCTTTTTCTTGTATTAATGATAATTGGAAATTAAATTAGAAAGATTAAAAATTATACATATTTCATTATACTAAATTAGTTTTCTCAGTTTAAAAATATATATATAATATATTTTTTTTCTAGTAAATTATTATTATTGCATTTCATCAATGAACATTCTATGATAACGATATTAAACTTTTATTATTCATCACAAAATCTTTCTTTTATTTTGTTTAATTTTGCTACGTAAATAAAAAAAAGAGTCAACGTTGCACAGGTGAAGTAAATATTATTGATCAGGGATACGCCTTATTATGTTTTGCTTTAACATATAAAAAGTTACTTGTGACTATGAAACTACGAATATGCATAGTGACAACCAATCAAACAAAGAGACAAGAAATAAAGAAAAGAATATCTAGGGATATATATCATTTCTTGTCTCTTTATTCTGCTCATCTATTGATGACGAATGAAGTATTTTTTTTGTATATACGTCTGTATATATTTCTGGACTGCAACAAAAAAACAACCATAGTCACAAACAACAAATAACGATTACTGATCGGTAAGAAAATTTTTTTTGTTTTGTTTTGTAACACAGAGAGAATGTTCATTTTCTTATCATAATATTTTATTACATACAAAACAAAAGAAAATAAGAGAAAATGAAAGTGAATGAATAATATTGAAGTAGTTTAGTGAGAAAAGGAAGATAAGAATCTATTTAGTTAATCACTTCTTGTGTAATAGCTTTTTTATTATATAATGAGTATATACTATGAACTAGTAAATAGTAGAATAATATCAGCTAATGACTTAACTAACTTTGTCGGTAGAATAAATCAAGATGCATGCCTAAAAAATAGTGTAACATAAACTTTATTAGTTTTTTAAATGTATTTATTTGATGTAGGTATAACTATTGATTTATACAAAATGAACATCTTTAATAACTATTTACTACTGTAGACATTAAGTCTAGATGTACTGTTCCAATAATTTTTTCTTACATAACAGTTCAACTAGTGTTATCTAATCGATGCAATTATCATCATCAGCTTCTTTTTTTTTGTTTCTTCCCTCATATTTATCCAAATCCTTAATACTATCTATAGATCATTCTAATAAAGAGTTTTTCTTCTTTCATTCATCATGATCACTGCTATCACTCTCAATATCTAAATCGATATTCATTTCTTTTATGACTAAATGAATAAGACCAAATCAATAAAACTCTGGTGGCAAATAATAATTGCTATACGTGTAGGTGTGTGATAAATTTATAAAATTTTGGTAAACTGTCAACAATCAAATAAAAAAAGTCACAATGACATAAGAGATAGTTATAACTAAAATGAAAAATTAATTATATTTATAAACAACTAGAGCTTTTTCAAATAGAATTAATTGTGGCTAGTTACTAGCCTCCATAGAATCGTAGTTACTCTATATAATAAATATCATTTATAACTTACAATCAATACAACAGCACAAAAAAACAATGAACTTTTTATCTTACATTTGACACTAAAGTACTATAGTAATAAAGAAATAAATAAGATCTCAACGGATTTCCTCATCAGAATGTTTGAATAATAAAATAGGATTATTGTAAACTAACCTTGATTATGACATTGATTTAACAGAATATTAAATTTTAATTATTATATATTTATTTGTTCTAGAAAGCTTGAATTGTTAACAAGTACTGATGTTATTTTCAGGAAAGTTTCGATGGTTATGGCTGTATTTATTATTTGGACAATTGATGATATCACATGTAAGAACAGCATGGCCACCATCAAATTCGTCAAATGTACAAGTATTGGGCATGTTTGAATATCTTACAAATACTACTGCGTCTAGCGTTTCGTCTATTCAATGTCGAGCAATGTTCATATCAGCCATCTTACTCTCTCAACAATACAATATGACTATTCAAGGACAGAATATCAGCTGGCAAGCAGTAGAAACTGGTGGTGATCCGATGACTGCTCTTGCTGATACATGTCAAGCAGTTTCCATCTCAAATATCGTCGGTGTGATAGGACCAGGACTTTCAAGGGAATCAGCGGTTATTGCTCCTTTTGCTTCAAGAGTTGGCATTCCTGCTATATCATATGCTGCAACTGATCCAGCATTATCTGATGGCAATGCCTATCCTGATTTTTACCGTACAATTCCAACAGATAGTACAGCTGTATTGGCAATGGCACAACTTTTCATTCGGTTTAATTGGACATCATGTACCATTATCTATCAAAATGATGAATATGGAACAGGTGGTGCACAAGCGATAAACGAAATATTTGACGCTAACAACTTAACAGTTTCAGAAGCGATTGTATTTGATACTGCCACTCTGGCTATTCATGGTGACTTAAAAAGTCTTTTAACAAGTAGTGCAGCACGAATTATTATCTTATGGGCGGATTTAGACTATGCACCTTTAGTTATACAAAAAGCGCTTGATTTAGATCTTCTTGGCCCAGTATTTACATGGATATTAAGTGTCGCTGTTTCATTAGATAGTTTCAATAGCACCTCTTATACTAAGTTAAGTGGAATGATCACTGTTGAACCAGTTCCAGGTAGTGTTGTAAATGCTCCAATAAACACAACATTATTAAATGCAGCATATAGTATATGGGAACAATATGAACCACAAACATTTCCTGGAGCAGATAAAGTTGATTATTATGCAATATTTGCATTTGATGCTACTTGGTCATTAATTCAAGGACTAAATCAACTTTGTTCATCTTATCCTAATATTTCATCAACATGTACAACATTCACTGGTGATTCATTCTGTTTTGATTGTCGTTTTGTTAATTCTGATATGTTTATTAATATCCTTGATAATACTTCATTTCTTGGTGTTTCTGGTCCTATACAATTCTCAAATACCTCGACTGATCGAATAAATGGCACTTATTATATTGCAAGAAATATTCAACATTCTTCATCGAGTTTGAATTATGTCCCCGTATTGGTATGGTCTAATTCAGATGGATGGACAACAAATACACAAACGAATGTGATAATCTGGCCTGGTAATTCATTAGTAGTTCCTACTGGATATGCAGCAATATCAGGTTTAACCTTAGACATTATTGTTGTCGATTCAGCTCCATATATAATGACGTCAGTAATACAAGATAGTTCTGGGGAAACAACAACAAAACTAATTGGATATATAATTGATCTACTTGATAAGTTACAAACTCAAATGGGTTTTATTCCTAATATTACTTATTTTCCTTCAGATGCCTCATATGATGATCTAATTGAATCAGTAGCAAATGGTACTTTTGATTTGTTCATAGGTGATGTAACAATTACTGCAGCAAGAAGAGAAATAGTTGATTTTTCAAGTTCAATATTTGACAACGCGTTACGTGTCATCGTAAGAGATGCAGCTAGCGTCAAGTTAGATCTATGGTCATATTTAAAACCATTTTCTGTTAAATTATGGATAACTCTGCTGGGTGCTACTATCTATGCTGGTATTCTGATGTGTATATTAGAAAGAGAAGGAAATGAAGCATTACAAAATCGATCAATAATTTCTCTTATTGGAATGAGTATGTGGTTTTCTTTTGGTGGAGTTATGGGTGCTGGTGCAGATTTCGGGGCAACAACAGCTCCTGGTCGAGTATTAAATGCAGGTTTAAGCATTTTAAGTTTGATATTAGTTGCTGCATATACTGCCAATTTAGCATCTGATCTAACAGTGTTAAAGACGGTTGGTTTTATTTCTGGAATAAATGATATTAAAAATGGAAAAGTACCACCTAGTCGCGTTGGTATTATAACTGGCACATCTATTGAAGACTATTATCTGCGAGAAGTCTCTGGACGTAGTCTTAATTTCTATCCATTAATATCAACAGATGAAATGATTGAAGCCCTTCTGGATAAGAAAATCGACGCGTCTATTATGGATTCCGGTACTTTAGAATATTTGACCAACAGCATGTTCTGTAATTTAACATTAGTTGGAACAACTTTTGATCAAAGTTCATTTGGAATTGTTTTTCAGAAGAATTGGTTATATGATCAAGATTTTGATATAGCTATTTTGACATTGAGAGAATCAGGTACGTTTGACACCTTGCAAAAAAAATGGTTTCAAACAAATGGATGTTCTCAATCATCTGAAATAGGTACTGCTATGTCAATTGATTCGATGGCTGGATTATTTATGACTTTCGCTGTTATTAGTGCTGTAGCTATATTATATTTTATGTGGAGAAAACGAACAGCTATAAAAGATCGTTTTCTTGCATTAATTCATCGAAAAAAATCACCTGATTCGCAAGTTATCGTATTAAGTCAAACTGGAAGTGACATATCTTCTGAAAATCCTTCACGTCGAAGATCAACTATTTATCCTGTATTGTATCTCTAAAGACAAAGTTTTTATTTTTCGAAATAGTATTAATTTTTAATCTATATATATGTAATAAATTTTAATAATACATGAAAACTTCTTATATTTTAAGTGGATATATGATATTTTAAAATCAAGCAGGTTCATTTGTTACTATGCTGTTGCATTGATTATTAAAAGAATGAAAAAAAATCTAATATTTTGCTTCTAGTAAGCGTACATGATTTCCTTCTTTGAATAAACGAAAAAAATATCTAATGTATGAATTAATCCGTTTTGCAATATTTGTGTAGCTTGTAAATAATATAAATACATTCTTTATAGTTATTGCATGAAGATTACACAATACAGTTGAGATTAAACTAAATACAACAGTAGTATAATAGATGGATGAATATGTGATGTTTTATACCAATATAATATTCAAACTTCAACGAGTCCACGAAATCGACTTGATGAAATCAAAAACATATAGAAATTTTTCTAAGTACATGCAAAGAAAAACAATGAATCGTTTAAAAAAATAAAAGTAACGTACGGCATTATAGTTGTTAGGGAAAATCTAACAGTGAATAGAATAAAAATAATTTTCTTTTAAAAATTTATTTTTCCTAAATTTCTACACGTTGATCATAGACTTTAAAATTCATTGTATGCATCGTGTTCTTACTCTCTTTCGTCAATATTCAACTTGTATAGTATGTCTATAAAAAAACCCTACAACCTTTTTCATCTTGCTCTTCAAAAATATAGAAGATCCTGAATAAGAAGATAATAAAGTACTCTGATGTAAAACTGGCATATGAAAATTCGATTTAAAGCGTTCAACTTCATCTACACTAGGATATTATCATTTGATAAAATGATTAATTTTGATTGTCATCGATAGATAAGAAATCAATCTAATTTAGTAATACAGTGTAAATTTGCTATAGAAAAAAAACTAATATTTCTATAACTTTGACAGATGGTTAGTTGAAGAACAGAAAAATAAAATGAAAGTTTTCTTAGCTTATTATACAACTAAATATTTCGTTTTAGAAATGTATTAAAAAAACGACAATATATTAGTTTGAAATATTTCTTTATTTGTATAATAATCTATATTATAGGCATTCAGTTTAATCACATACTGTCATTTATTAGTTTTTTTTTACTTTACTAATATTAAGTCGTACTCTTTCATTATTTTCTAAATATCAAATACTTCATTCTTATTTTTAATCTACAAAGCCTAAATATAATATAATATTTTCAACTCTCAAATTTTTTTTCTTCAAATTTGTTAGTAATTTTATGTTTCAATAAAAATAAATATACTAGAACAATATGGAATTGGATATTCATTTATGAACACTCTACACTTATCCAATAGATTATTCATGCATTAGAATCTTCTATTATCAATTAAAGTCCACAAAGAAATAAATATTTTGATAAACAACTGATGGATTAATTTGACCTAGTATATTAGTTGAGTGGTGATATTAGACAAAAAGATTTGAATAATGACTACAGAATTAATAGGATTTCAACTAATCTTAGTATACACATATATTTTTGTAACTATTAAATTTGATAATAATTAGATGAAAAATATGATGCAGTATAATGGAATATAATTTATTTATAAAAGATTTTCAACCCTTTTCTCATTTTAATTTCGATCATTATCAATACACGAACATCAAAAATAAAAATATATTCATATATATGTAGTATTAATAAAAACTTAATATATTACAATAAATAATTTTATATCATATTGACATTATTTGTATTTTGTTTTTTTTTGAATTTTTTTATTTTTATTTCACATACGAGATAATGATCTGATTGAACTGGTGATACAGATAGTATCAGAAATCTAACACACGATGTATGTATATTACCACTTGGACGAGGTCAGTACGTTTTGATATGAAAGACAAAAAAAAAGAGATTAGTTTAAACTTTTGTCCTTGATTTATCTCTATTGATAATATATCAATAATATCTGGTTTTTTTCTTGTATTAATGATAATTGGAAATCAAATTAGAAAGATTAAAAATTATATATATTATACATATGTCATTATGATGCATCATTAGTTTTCTCAGTTTACAAATATATATATATACAATATAATTTTTTCTAGTAAATTATTATTACTGCCTTTGATTAATGAACATTCTATGATTAACGATATTAAACTTCCATTATTCACCACAAAATCTTTCTTTTATTTTGTTTAATTTTGCTACGTAAATAAAAAAAGAGTAAACGTTGCACAGGTGAAGTAAATATTATTGATCAGGGATACGCCTTATTATATTTTGCTTAAGCATATAAAAAGTTGCTTGTGACTATGAAACTACGAATATGTATAGTGACAACCCATCAAACAAAGAGACAAGAAATAGAGAAAAGAATATCTAGGGATATATATCATTTCTTGTCTCTTTATTCTGCTCATCTACTGATGACGAATGAAGTATTTTTTTTGTATCTACGTATGTATATATTTCTGGACTGCAACAAAAAAACAACCATAGTCATAAACAACAAATAACGATTACTGATCGGTAAGAAAAATTTTTTTGTTTTGTTTTGTAACACAGAGAGAATGTTCATTTTCTTATCATAATGTTTTATTACATACAAAACAAAAGAAAATAAGAGAAAATGAAAGTGAATGAATAATATTGAAGTAGTTTAGTGAGAAAAGGAAGATAAGAATCTATTTAGATAATCACTTCTTGTGTAATAGCTTTTTTATTATATAATGAGTATATACTATGAACTAATAAATAGTATAATAATATCAGCTAATGACTTAACTGACTTTGTCGATAGAGTAAACCAAGATGTATATGTAAAAAAACGTGTGACATAAACTATATGAGTTTTTTAAATGTATTTATTTGATATAGATATAACTATTGATTTATAGAAAAATGAACATCTTTAATAACTATTTATAAATCTACAGACTAAGTCTAGATGTATCATAATTTGAATTCAGGCGATTACTTCTCTTTAAATGTGACTAGAATGTAATCAGAAATTCAATGAAATAAAAAAAGTCATAATGCCATAAGAGATAGTTATAACTAAAATGAAAAATTAATTATACTTATAGACAACTAGAGCTTTTTCAAATAGAATTAATTGTGGCTAGTACTAGCCTCTATCTGATCGTATTTACTCTATGTAATAAATATCATTTATAACTTACAAATAATACAAGAGCACAAAAAACAATCAACTTTTTATCTTACATTTGACACTAAAGTACTATAGTAATAAAGAAATAAATAAGATCTCAACGGATTTCCTCATCAGAATGTTTGAATAATAAAATAGGATTATTGTAAACTAACCTTGATTATAACATTGATTTAACAGAATATTAGATTTTAATTATTATAAATTTATTTGTTCTAGAAAGTTTGAATTGTTAACAAGTACTGATGTTATCTTCAGGAACTTTTCGATGGTTATGGCTGTATTTATTATTTGGACAATTGATGATATCACATGTAAGAACAGCATGGCCACCATCCAATTCTTCAAATGTACAAGTATTAGGCATCTTTGAATATCTTACAAATACTACTGCGTTTAGCATATCGTCTGTTCAATCTCGTGCGATGTTCATATCAGCCATCTTACTCTCTCAACAATACAATATGACTATTCAAGGCCAGAACATTAGCTGGCAAGCAGTAGAAACTGGTGGTGATCCGATGACTGCTATTGCTGATACATGTCAAGCAGTTTCCATCTCAAATATCGTCGGCATAGTAGGACCAGGACTTTCAAGGGAGGCTGTTCTTGTTGCTCCTTTTACTACAAGAGTTGGCATTCCTGCCATATCATATGCTGCAACTGATCCAGCATTATCTAATGGCAATGCCTATCCTGCTTTTTATCGTACAATTTCATCGGATAGGACAGCTGCATTAGCTTTTGCTCAACTTTTCATTCGATTTAAGTGGACATCATGTATCGTTATCTATCAAAATGATGAATATGGAACAGGTGGAGCAAGTGCAATAGGTGAAATATTTAGTGGTAACAACTTAACAGTTTCAGAAGTGATTGCATTTGATATTGTCACTCTGGCTATTCATGGTGACTTAAAAAGTCTTTTAACAAGTAGTGCAGCACGAATTATTATCTTATGGGCTGATTCAGATTATGCACCTTTAGTTATACAAAAAGCGCTTGATTTAGATCTTCTTGGTCCAGTATTTACATGGATATTAAGTGTCGCTGTTTCATTAGATAGCTTTAATAGTACATCATATGATAAATTAACTGGAGTAATCGCTATTGAACCAGTTGGAGGTAGTATTGTAAATGCTTCAATAAACACAACATTATTAAATGCAGCATATAGTATATGGCAACAATATGAACCAGAATCATTTCCTGGATCGGATAAAGTTAGTTATCATGCATTATTTTCATTTGATGCAACTTGGTTGTTGATTCAGGGAATAAATCAACTTTGTTCATCTTTTCCTAATATTTCATCAACATGTACAACATTCACTGGTGATTCATTTTGTTTCAGTCGTCGTTTTGTTAATTCTGATATGCTTTTGAATGTACTTGACAATACTTCATTTCTTGGTGTTTCTGGTCCTATACAATTCTCAAATAATATAACTGATCCTGTAGATCGTAATTATTATATTGCAAGAAATATTCAACATTCTTCAACTAATGTGAGTTATGTTCCAGTGTTAGTATGGTCTGATTCTAATGGATGGACAACAGACACACAAACAAATGTAATAATCTGGCCTGGTAATTCATCAACAGTTCCTACCGGATTTGCATCAGTAAGAGGTTTAACCTTAAGTATTATTGTTGCCGAGTCAGCTCCATTTACAATGATGTCAAAAATACAAGATGGTTCTGGAAACATATCAACAAAACGAACTGGATATATACCTGATCTACTTGATCAGTTACAAGGTCAAATGGGTTTTATTCCTAATATTACTTATTTTTCTGCAAATGCCTCATACAATGATCTCATTAATTTAGTAGCAAATGGTACTTTTGATTTGTTCATAGGTGATGTAACAATTACTGCAGCAAGAAGAAAAATAGTTGATTTTTCAAGTTCAATATTTGACAACTCGTTAAGTGTGATCGTAAAAACTTCAGTTAGTTCTCAACTAGATCTATGGTCATATTTAAAGCCATTTTCTGTTAAACTATGGATAACTCTGCTGGGTGCTACTATTTATGCGGGTATCCTGATATGTATATTAGAAGGACAAACAAATGAAGCATTACAAAATCGATCATTAGTTTCTATAACTGGATTATGTATGTTGTTTTCTTTTAGTACAATTATAGGTGGTGGTGCAGATTTCGATGCAACAACAGGTCCTGGTCGAATATTAACTGCTGGTTTAAATATTTTAAGTTTGATATTAGTTGCTGCATATACTGCCAATTTAGCATCTGATCTAACATTGTTAAAGACGGCAGGTAGTATTTCTGGAATAGATGATATTAAAAATGGAAAAGTTTCATATAGTCGCATTGGTATTATAACTGACACATCTATTGAAGACTATTATTTAGAAGAAATCTCTGGAGGTAGTCAAAATTTTTATCCATTAATATCAACAGATGAAATGATTGAAGCCCTTCTGGATAAGAAAATCGATGCATCTATTATGGATTCTGGTACTTTAGAATATTTGACTAATAATATCTACTGTAATTTAACATTGGTTGGATCTGATTTTAATCCAAGTTCATATGGAATTGTTTTTCAGAAGAATTGGTTATATGATCAAGATTTTGATATAGCTATTTTGACATTGAGAGAAAACGGTACTTTTGATGTCTTGCAAAAAAAATGGTTTCAATCAAATATATGTTCGCATTCATCTGATACTTCTACTGGCATGTCAATTGATTCGATGGCTGGATTATTTATGACTTTCGCTGTTATTAGTGCTATAGCTATATTATATTTTATGTGGAGAAAACGAACAGCTATAAAAGATTGTTTTCTTACATTAATTCATCGAAAGAAAGCATCACATACACAAGCGATCGAATTAGATATAACTGGAAGTGAAATATTTCCCGAAGATTCTTCTCATCAAAAATCATCTGTTACTCCTGCGAAGACCGGAGAGAACGTCGCACGGAAAAAACGTCGCAGGCGGGTGTGAGGATACATCGAATATTCACATCCCACGTACATACACTGTTCAACATCAAAAATTTACTAGCAATTCGTTTTAAACACTAAAATTATGCTTTTTAATCTAATTAAATATATATATATATATATATATGTAATAAATTTGAATCGGAATAATACATGAAATTTTTTTTATTTGAAGTAGATATGTGATATTTTCAAGGCAAGCAGATTCATTGATGAGGGTGGATGTAGATAGCTACATCATTTCATACCCATACCCTTAGAAATCACATACATTTTGTCTTCTATTCTACCACTGTTGCTATTTACTCATTTATTAAATTTTCGAACGACGTGTTGATCATTCGTTTGAGCTAGGTTTTAGATTCTCAAATAGTAAATCAACGAGTAAACATCCTACAAGATTTTCATGAAGTAATTTCTTCGTCGAAACTCGTAGATTCAAAATTTATTCAATCAAAATCATCATTGATACAGTTTACTTCCTTGAGTGAATTATTCTAAAACTTTAATCGCTTCCATACATAAAATGATCAGAAATTTCGTTCGCTTGTCTCGTGTATATTAACCATGAAAAAATATTTTACAAGAAAATCGATTATAATCATACGCTTTTAATCAGAAATAACCGAATAAATCAAAGTTTCCGTAATTATTACGATGAATGGCGATTATAATCGATTGAAATTCCGTGACAATAGTTGATTACACGTGAGAAATCCTCTTTACATAACTATCAGAAATAACTAATTGTGTTTCGACACAAGAAAGAGAGTGATGAATAATTGATAGAAGCTAATGAAAAGATTCCTAAGAATATTTATTAAAATTTAACTCTTCCTATAGAAGTGCAGATTTCGAAGAAAATTGAATCGTGTCAAATGTGTTAGCAAATGAATTATTCCGTTGAGTTTGATCTCTTTATATTTAAGTGCTCACGTTATATTATGTTTTATAATATTCATTTCAATGTTTATAATAACTAAATATTTGAACATAATCGTCTCAAGATTTATTTATTTTATTGAGTCATCGATAAAAATTAACAAAGCCAAAATGAAAAACGTAACAAATCACACAGTACGTATACGAAAAGGATGAGCTTCAGTATTAAAGACATATGATTCTAAAGGAATAAATGAATCATCTGAAAATATCAGTAGCAGATATTTAAGAGTTTCAGCTATGAAAAAGCTTTGTTGAACATCATCATGAGACACTGTTTCGGCATATACATCTCTTATACCAGAATAACCACCTTCAACTCGACAATATTTCTCAATGCTCTAAATAAAAAAATAAATTTATAATTATTTTTTTTTCGAAATATGAAAACTATACAATAAGTGCATCCCAAGCCCAATCACGATAGATTTGATCATGTGTACTTCTCCATAAATAAAACCATGCTTCAATTGCTTCAGGTCTTAAGATATAATATTTTTCATTATCCCGTAATGATTTAGCTTCAACATCAACACGTTCAAAATGAAAACCTTCGGGACCAAGACCAGTTGCTGAAAAACAAAAATTTCATTTCATTAAAAAAAGATCCTTGTAATTAAGAAAAAAAAAGAAACAAATTTTTACCTGTACGAACATAAGATTCTCGACATGTTTTTCCAATACCTTGAGCTATTTCTATTTCATGTTTAGTTGATGAATTTGAAGTTATTGCACCAGATAAGGCTGATAAGACATAGAGACCACCAACAAAACATGTTAGATGTCCCATTTGAGGATCTAAACGACCAGAATGATGTTCACCGAAATACATTAAATTTGTTGTTGGAGTTTTTCTTAACATTGCTTCTTCAGCTGCCTTTAATTTAAATATATATTAAAATAATTTTTTTTGTTTTCTGATTTATATTTTCAACTAACTTTCATAGAACTTTCATACATTGAACGAGCTTGTTCATCTTTTTTGCCAGATAAAACCCAACTTTTCAATAAATATTCATAGAAACTATCACCTAAACCGCCAAGAGATGCATGTCCTATATTTAATAAATAAATTTTTATTAAAACTTAAATATTTTTTTTTTATATAGAAAAAAAAACTTTACGTTGACACCATTTTCCTGTTTGTTGATTAATATAATTAAAATACATATTGTTCTCTGAGGCTTCTTTGAGAGTTGTACGTATTTTTTCAACTTTCTCTAAATAGATCTCTTTTCCTGTTAATTGAGATAGATATTGAAATTCAAGATGCATTGTTCCTAATTCAGATAATATCGAACAACCACCAGCAGCCCAATTCCAATTTTTTGATGCCCCACTAAAATATTTTTTTTATTTAAAAAATAAATAAAATTCAAATTAAAGACTAACTTTGCTAAATTTATCAGTGCAAAAGGAATTCCAGTTGGAGTATTAAATGCAGGAAGAAGACGATCAGCTATTGCCTGAGCTTTATCAAGATATAACTATAATAAAAATAAAAATTGAATTATTAATATTATGTATAAGATTTATCAGTAATATAATCTAATTTTTTCATTTCGTCAATATATTAACTTACAAACAACTAATTTTGTATATAAATTCTTATCAAATATTTATTTTAAACAAAAAAATAAAATATTGATCTAATTCAGTTGATTTCATAAAAGAATATTTTATCTATAAATCTCATTAAATCTTACTTTGTCATTAGTTAAAGCATACATGGAAAGAAAACCACCAACAAGTCGAATATTTATTTCAAATGCAGAAATTTCACTATTCTAAATAAAAAAAATATACATACATGTATATAAGTCTTATATAAGAAAAAAAATATATCAAATATCCACCAACCACATTTGGATTAAATTCAGTTTCAATCCAATCTCTTGATTTTTGAACAAATTCTTTTAAATCAGCCAAATAAATTGTATCAAGACTATCAATGATTGTTATGCCTAATTTTTCTGTTCCAAATACATTCGCTGAATGTGATGTTTTTGTTATTGGTCGATGTTCATTAGCTCCCCATGCATATTTAGCATAATTTGAATAGGCATGAACCACCATCTGTTTTAAAAAATGAAATTTTTGTTTTTTCAAGAAAAACTCTAAATCATTATTACTTTATTTCATTTACGTATATGACATAAGTGAGCAACAATTCTCTTCTTAATTTATTTTCTTTTTTCAAGGAGAATCTATTTTTTTATGATTTATAGTTTTCAATATATAGGAGAAGAAGAAGTGAAACAAAACATCAAGTAGAATTAAAAGAGGATTAAAACGAAAGTTGTTAAACAACAAATGAAAGACTACAGGAAACGAGAGAAGATAAAAGACGAAAAAGAAGAAGAAGAAGACATACGAAAGAAAAACAATTGAGATTATCGAATTTCCAGACTTGTGACATGGATAATGTGGTTTAGAAGACGTCTTTGATGTCCGGACAACACTCACCTTTATTCGATTATCTCAACTCATATCTTCGTATATATAAGTGACTGATCGAAAAAAAGGTTTTTTTAGGAAGAAAAAAGAAATAAAGAAAAGAAAAAGAACAGTTCACACTAATTGGTCTATTCTTCTCTAATAAGCAGCTGGCATATAACCATAAGGACCAGCATACATAGCTGCAGCTGCTGGATCATAAAAATTTGGTTGTTGATAAGGAGCAAACGCACCTTGTTGTTGAAAAGCTCCACTATTTGGATCATAGTAAGGTGTTGCTACTTGTTGAGCACCATAACCATAATATTGTTGAACTTGAGGTGGAACTAAACCAGCTTGTTGAGCAGCAGCTAATGGCATTTGAATAGGTGGAAGAATACCAGCAAATTGTGCACCAGCACTTTGTCCTTGCATATATTGTTGCATTTGCATCATAGCAGCTGCTTGAGCTTGCATTGCGGCTGATGATTGTGGTGGTAATAGCATAGCTTGTTGCATTGGATCAGCTGCATAAAGACTTTTACTTGGTCCAGCATATTTACCATATTTTCCCATTTTACCTTGTGGAGCAACTTGTCCAAAACCATCATAATATGGTGCAGCAGGTGAAAGATATGGTGATGGCGGTGTGCCTGGTAATGCTGGTGGACCATATCCACCAGCTCGATTACCTTTGGTTGATGCATGATATTCATATTTATCTACCTTTTCACATTTTTCACGTTTGTTTCCGAAGAGACCCATGTCGAATAATGTATAAGGGTGAGTGTTGAAAAAAAATATGAAGAAGAAAAAGACAAGTGTATGTGTTGTGAATATTCTACGAAATGAATGAATGAAAAGAAATATTTATCTATACATATAGGCTGACCCATTGAACGGGCACAGTCACGCTTCAATAAACACATTTCATACGAGAAAAAAAGAAAATGAAAGAACAACTTTTCATCTATTGGTTAAAAGGCGAGAAGATCTTTTCACTGATGACACAACGCTCTTTTCTTTTTCGTTTTTTTTTTGCTTGTTTGAATTGAACTTGCGCCATTGAATCTCGCACACTTATTCATCGGTCATCCATAATGATGGATATATGTGATGACAGCCGTAACGATACCCATCTTTATTCACTCATTAAACATCGTGTTTAATGGATGTTGATACGATCAAACCATTTTAATGACCACCTTTCGTTTGTTACACTTCAACGAACATACAACTCTTTTCTCAATTAAACTTTTCTATCAAATCGATTCAACAAGAAGAAAGAAGGGAGAAGAAGAAAAAAACGAAAACGCCGAAGAAAATAAAAAAATCAAAATTTAACTAACCTCTCGAACTTTTTCTCGACGCATTTGTACTGATTGAATTTTTTGAAGTTCATCAATTGACATATGACTAAATATATTTGTTAAATTTTCTACAGGTAATGCATGATCAAATGATGTAATATTATTTAAATTAGGTTTTTGTATTGATTTTTTAATGGAATCCTTGTTGTCATCATCAAGATTTATAAGATGTTCTTTATTTTTATAAATTTGTTGTTTTAATTTTGATTGATCATTAGATAAATGTAAGGAATGATCATGATCTAGATTAGGCCAATTTACAGGTGGACGAGGTATAGGCGGTACAAATATATCTTTAAAATCACGATTTTTGAGTACTGATACTGGATCAATAACAACAGCTGGTAAATATCGAACAGCTATGAATGTTAAACTAAGAAAAAGTACAACAATAAGACCAAGAATTTGCCAAGTACGACTACGTCGTCTAATGACATTTGTTTTCAAAAGTGGGAGCACCGGTTGAAAATGACCCATCGAAATACCATTAACAAATAAATAAAATCTAGAAGAATTTTTTCTGTTTTTGTTTTTTTCAATGATAAGAATAAGTTTATTTTAGATAAATGTGTTTATTTTATTTGTTCTTGTTTCTTTTTTTCAAATGATTAAAATAAATAAAATGACAAGACAAAAAAAAGATACACTCATAGGGTGATGATTAAATATATCGAGAGAATTAAAATAAACGAGACGAACAATATTCAAAGAAAAACTAAATAGGATCAATATATATATATATGTATTGTATTGCAATAATTAAGCTTCCACGGGTGCTTCATCTAATAGAAGACGGAATGAAAATGGAACAAATGGATAACCTTCGCCTTTATAAAATTTCGATTGAAATTCAACCCTGAAAAATAAATGATAATGAACAAAATAAATATATTTAATTATGTTTCATTTATTTCAATATACAAACCAATGAAGACGTAATGCATGAAGAAAAGCTGAAAGTCCTTCCATTAAAAGTAATATAAATACTGTTAATGATGACCATGGCATAAAAACGAAAAATGATGCTATCGCACCACCGTAACCATTCATACTTAAACCCAAATGTAATATCATATGCCATAAAACTTCAGATAATTCTATAGAAAAAAAAAACGTTTTCGTGTTTTATAATAGATATTCAACAAACAAAAAATATACATACGTGCATGAGCTAATGATAAAGCCCAAAGACGTAGATATGAAGCTGTATGAGATATACAACCAAGAAAGTATTCGATTGTATGAATACCTTGTTCAACCCAAACTTCGCTCATTTCAACCTAGAATTTATAATTTAGAAAGAAAGAATAAAATGAAATAGTATTAGTTAAAGCATTATTGTATATAAAGCACCTCATGTTGATGATGTTGTTGATGTGAATGTTCATCATCAAGCATGTCTTCTGTGTCCGTATCCCGAACATCAGCATCAAGTACAACACCTCTCTATAAATATAAGCAGCATTATGTTAGTATATGATTAGATAGCATTAGTAAAACAAAACAAAAAAAAGAACAAAGAGCATTTTATTTCTTATGAAACCTTTTCAGCTGGATCATGAAATTCTTCTTGATGTTGTTCTTCTACATCACTATCATTACCTGCTGCGTGATTTGTTACTGTTGAATACTTGAGTATTTTTTTTTGTAATTATTATTATTTTTTTATTTTTTAAATAAATTACTTACATTTGCTCGTCGTTTATTCATTACAATTCGATAAATTGGTTTGCCTAAGAGCATCCATGGAACACAAAGAACTGCGAGAAGAATAAGAAATGTTTGAAATTGTTTTTGACCAGTATAAAATACTGCTGCACTTGGCGGATCAGTTTTATATGAGAATAATATCATATTAATCAAATCTATTTAAAAGAAAATATTCGTAAAATGATTAATTAGATAATAAAATTTCTTACGAATAAGCAATGATGGTGCATCAGTTGCTTTACTTCCATCAAAACTTGTCCATTTATAAAATATTAATATGATTAAATAGAAGAAAATACATGCCAAAAAGATAATTTGTGGAAGAAATTCAAGATAAATTGCATGACGATGATTAAAATGTCTATTAAAAAAAACATACTATTATTTTTTATTTAAATTTTCTTCTTCTTCTTCTTACAAATGATTCCATAAACTAAGAAAAAGTCCAAAACCCATTTGTGTTATACCAATAATAATAGCAAATTTCATTTTAACTGAATTTGTATATGTTATTTTATTATCTGCTAATTGCCAAACAGGATCGAGACCAATTGGATATGGTGTACCACTAAACATCTGTCGATAATCACCTGATCTTGTATAATTATATGGTGTTGGTTCTAACATAACTGAATCATGTTTAGCCAAAGTATCATCACTTCAAGAAAAAAATAATTTTAGAAAAAAATTAAAAAATGTTTTCGTCTATACCCAAATCGAACTCTCCATGATGAACCAAATATATTTAATGATTTCGAAAATACATCATTATAAATAATTCCTGTATAGATTGAGAATATACCCATTAATAAAATAATATATCTTCCACCAAAAAATATTGTCCAAACTTCTTGATTTCTCCATTTATCTTTAAGTGAACGTTCTTTAAGAACCATCCATAATGCAAATATTGTTACAAGTATACCATGCCCGGCATCACCAAACATAACAGCAAATAAGAATGGAAATGTTATTAAAACAAATGGCATTGGATTGATTTCTCGATATGTTGCAACACCATAAGCATCAACTAAATTTTGAAAACCTTGTGTAAATTTATTTAATTTATGATGAGTTGGAGGTTGTTCACGAGTAACCATACGATTTAATACAGATGAGACTGTTCCACCACCACTCGCTTCCTATTTACATAAATATAAATATGAATTATTAAATAACGACGAACAAAAAATAACATACAGATCCTTTTCTAAGTGCTAATTGAATTCGATCAAGTTCACTAACTGGTGCCCAACATTCAGCAATAAGACATTTTCTTGCCACATCATTATTAAACATATTCATTGTATGATAAATAGCTTTGATTTTTTTAACTTTAATTTGCCATGTTCGAAGATTTCTTGATGTTGCTGCTAAAACACGTTGTCGATGATCTTGTGTTTGACTAAGAACAACTGTTAGATCTTCTAAACGTGTCATGACACCCATAGCTAATTCTCGACGTTCATGTGGATTTTCTGGACATGGATAAATATTTGCACGAAAACTAAATATAATTTATATTGAATTTAAATTCAAGAGAAAAAGTCAATACAAACCCTTCGCAAATTTTTTGAACACGATTTTTTAATTGTTCACCTTGAAAAAATACTACAAATACTGTTTTATGGAGTTTTTCACCCTAAAAAATAAATTTTTCTAAATAATTATTTTATATTAAAATAAAAAGAAACGAACTGAAACAGGATCTTCAATTAATTCAGGAATTTCCGCTTGTCTTAAAAAAACATTTCCTCGACAAACTCTCCATAACATTCGTTCAAATGCTACCATACGTTCACGTGGAACAACACCGGTTATAAATCTATTTGTAATAAGAAAAGAAAAAAAGGAAAAGGAAATAAATATTTATATATACAAAATTCATGAATAGGGGGACACAAGACACTATGCATAAGCTATACATTCAACACTTTATTTTATGTTTTATTTTTACCCAAGTTTCATTCCAGCAGCAGTTGTTGTTGTTTGTCCACCTAATTCCATTTCTCGTTCACCACCAACATCTTCCATTACACCAACTGGATGAGATATAGCCTTTAGAAAAGAAAAATAAAACAAGAAAAACTAACATGCAAGCGAAAGAAAAAGGAATTTCATGCATATTGCAATCAGATAAAGCTAGCCGAGCAGCAGTTCATTGTGTCCCCCTTTCAATCAATAGTATTATATCTCTACCCTAGTTTATTATGACTGATCATCGAATATTCATAAAGCAGTTGAACTTGATCATCGTCCGAATCCCTCTGGTTACGATTGTGTGCTGGTGTGAAGGCCATCTCTGCCTAGTTTCTCTCGTGATTTTAAAAAAGCAAAGCTGTGAGTTATCGATTAAACTTACATCATCAAAAAATCCTTGTGTCATAGTTAAATTATGTTTTAATTCAGTTAATTCATTAAAATTTCGTAGAAGTGCATCAGCATTTGTATTAATTTCTTTTAATTCATGATCTAATTTTTCAAATGTTGCCTAAAATTCAATTTCATATATATACAAATAATATGAGGAAAAGAAAAAGCAATATTACTTCAAGATCTATCATTTCTCGAGGTTTTGGTGCATCAGGATTATCTTCTGGATCGTATATTGGTAATTCATCTTTCTTTATTTCCGTTTCAAGGAATCCTATATGAACAGGAAAAAAAAATAAATAACATCTATTACAAAATTCATTATTTAAATCATACGAAGTTTTCGTTCCATTTCTTCACATCGTCGAACTTCATTTACATATTTACGTTGAAAAGAATTTACATTTGGATTCAGCTAATTATAAATGAAAAAAGAAAGATTTTAAACCATCGAATAAATATATAATTAATTAGTCATACATCACGAAATTGAACAATTCCTAATTCTCCCAATTCAGATATACAAGAATACGCAGCATCAGGTTGCAAGAAGAGTTGACATAATGTCATTTCTTCACTGCGAAATATTGTACTCATCACTCGGTTATTCAAATCAAAAAAATGAAATGCAGATCTAAAATATACAAAAAAGAAAGAAAATTATTGCATTTTACCTATTAAGAACATTAGTGATAGTTATCTTCACACTTTATTTTTTTTCTCTAGGCTAATTGATCAATTTTTTAGTTATAAAAAGATTTTTATCAGATGATTTCTAAAGTTTATCATAAAATGATTGTTGAAGAATCCATCTTAAAAATATATGATTGTCCTCCTCATAATCACTCATCATCAATGACGACAACAACAAATTTTTATGACTAGTTTTACCAATGATAATAATTTCATCGATAGATGACGCTAATGTTAGTATGATTTTATCTATAGAGAATTTCTTCAGTTGATTCTAAAAATATTTAATCTCTTATGAAATATACTTGATTTATCACTTTTTCTATTTTGAAAAAATACATAAATTTATCATTGGTTCCTTCTATTTAACTAGAAAAAGATTAAGTTTCAAAATTTATTTATTTTATGCAGAAATGACATTATTGGAAAGCTATAATTTATTACTCTAAAACAATTTGAAGTAATTTCGAAATTCTTTTCTTATCATCTAGCAGTTTCTATACTCGACTTTTTTACCGATACAACTTCAAAATATTTTGAATAAGATCTGCAGTATTCTTTCGATATTCAGTAGTGGAAATAAAATTTTGTTTCTCATAAACATCAATGATAATTTTAAGATATATCTTTTGTCATACTTGATGTCAAAATCTAGAAATAAGGTTTCATTTATCAACAATCTAGTTTTTTTCGACTAATGAAGACCTTCAATGTCTATAATGTCCTATCACCTTCAGGTTATACAATCGAATAGAATACGAAATTTTTATTTTTCTTTCCTTTAGAAATAGCTATTGTATGAGTTAAACGATAATTTACACACATATAACTACTCTTGATATATAACCAAAATTTATTTATTAAATTAAAGTATAAATATAAATTAGGAATCAAAATCAATAATAAGTGTTGATTGTGCATATTTATCACGACTATTACCAATCCAAAGATTGATAATACCTGGTATTTGTTGTCGATTTGAATATGGAATATTTCTAATACGAAATGTAAATGAAATTGTTTTTTGTTCATTAATTTTAAATAATGTTTTATTAAATTGTAATAATTCACGTATCGGTAATTCAATAACTGTTGAATTAGGAAATTCATAATATAACTGTGTAACAAATTGTGCAGGAAATGGACCTTGATTAATAATATTTATATTTGCTACAATATCAGTATCGAGATTATTTATTTTATTCGGATAAATATTTAATTTTGAATTCATTTTAAATTTTGAATAAGTTAAACCATAACCAAATGGAAATAATGGTGGAGCTTTGAAATAATCTAAATAACGATATGTTCTTCCAGGTGATTTATTCATTGAATAATCATCTATTGGTAATAATTGACTTGTATCTATTGGTATTGTAAATGGTAAACAACCACTTGGAATAGATAAACCAAATAATATATCAGCAATTGCATCACCACTTTGTCCAAAATAGGATATCCATAATAATGCTGCGGAATTTTCATTAATTATATATGGTTCTGATATAGGTGAACCTGATATAATTAATATAGCAAATGGTTTATTTAATTTCATTAATAATTTAATTAATTCTAATTGTCCACCAGGTAATTGTAATGTATTACGATCTGTATCTTCTTCTTCAAAACTTTCATCTAAACCACCAACAAATAAAATAATATCACTTTCATTGTATAATTCTATAGCATGTTGAAAATCTTCATCACTCGTATTTTTTCGTGATGCTCCCCATGTATGAACAACATTAATATTATATTTCGATGCAATTGATTGTATACCATCTAAAGTTGTTATCCATTTACTTGGTGTGCCATGATATGTATGTGCTTGTACAGTTATATCATTTGATGATGGACCAATAACTGCAATTTGTTTGATTTTTGTTAAATTAAATGGTAAAATTTGTTTAGGATTTTGTAATAAAACAATTGATTCACTAACAATTTGTTTTGTTAATAATTTATGTTCAATACTATCAACAATAGAATATGGTATTGATGAATATGGATCTGTACCAATTGGATCAAGATTTCCACTTAAAAATCTTGAATGTAAACCACGACGTATAGCTAAATTAATTGTATCGAAATTAACAAAACCATATGAAATTGCTTTATGTAAAAATTTAAATTCTTCACCACAATTAATATCATTGCCAGATGATACAGATATGGCAACAGCTTGTTCTAATGTTGCTGTATAATGAAATGATTTTTGTATATCACCCATAGGATCACAATCGCCTACGAATAATAATAAGAAAAAGAAAATAAATTAAAAGAATTTTACTTATAACATAGCCTGTAAAATTCCATTCATTACGTAATACATCATTTAATAAATATTTATTTGCTGCTGATGGTATACCATTAACTGCACTTATTGAACTCATTACACCAACAATTGCTTTTTCATCAATAAGTTTTTTCCATACTGGCAAATATGTCGTTCTAAAAACAGAAAAATAAATAAATTCTACAACAGGAAATTTTATTTACCTTAAATCATTATCAGAAATAATTGCATTAAAGCTAAATCTACCATCATCAGGACCATCATAATCAACAAAATGTCTTTTAGGAACAAAAAATGACTCTTCGATATTCTACTCACAAAATTTTACCTCATAACAGGTATAACTTTATAAATTCCATATTCTAATTCTGTATCTTCTAATTTTGCATAACCCATGATACCTTTATTAAAAGCGACAGCTATTTCACCTGTTAATATTGGACATTCACCTATATAGAATATAGAGCAAAATAACATATATATATATTAAATTTCATTAGTAAATATTAACCATATGTTTCTGGAACTCTTCCCCATCTTGGATCTCGTGCGATATTAATAACACTTGATGCACCAGTTTTATAATCAATACTTTTATTTTTATAATTATACTGTATTGCCATACTTTCATCACTAATCATAATACCAGATTGAAATATTAAATTTTTATTCCATGTTGAAGCAATTCCTGTACCTTGTGGTAGTACAGAAACATTACCATCAATAACAGAACTATAACAATTAATATTACAACCATTTGATGCTGATCGATAAACATATCCTTGTCCCATCCATGAATATCCACGAATATTTAAACGTGGAACAGATAAATTAGGTAATTCTCCATCTATACAAAAAAACGATATAATTAATAACTTTTATAATAAATAATACCTGCTGTTGTTGCACCCATCCATAACATATCAATCTTAAAAATTAAAGAATTAATTTCAATAGAATTATTGTAAAATTACTTTTTCTTCTGGAGTTAATAATGACATAAGATTATCTAATCTTATATCAATTGGTAAAGTTGGATCTTGAAATGGATAATCATAATTTGATTTACATACATATTTATAATAATTATACATATATGTAATTGAACAAATGAAAAATAATATTGGAATTATCCATTTCATTGATAAACTTTCTCTAAAAATTTTATAGGATAATAAAAAAAGAAATGTCATAAACTATGTTTTACCTTGAACGTTTGTGTAACATTGAAGTATGGTTCATGTAAAATGAAAAGAATGAAAAAGAAAAAAAATGTGCGTGTGTAATCAATAGATATAACCACGACATGTTTATATCGTTCTTCAACATTTTTTTTTCTTTTTCCTTTTATTATATAATGTTTGTCTTCATTTAAAATTTCTTTTGTTGGTTTTACCTTTTTTTTATATAGACAATTTAAATTTTAATATTCAACATTTTCAAATAAAATATGTTTTTATTTTTTTTAAATAAATAGAAAAACTAAATATTCTAAATAATAAAGTTATTAATTAAATGCATCCACATTTTGTTGAATCAAATTCTGTAAGAAGTCCATATCTTTCAACTTTTGGATCAAAATCTTGTTCAATAACAGTAACCCATTTAACAATTTGTGATGCATCTTTAATAGCAAATTCATCTGTACTCTCCGGGTTTTGAAGCATATAACATGTATCATAATCATCTTTCCATTTTCCACGATGAGCATATTCATATATTTGAGCATCAAATCTTGGATGACCTTTTGTTATTACTTGTCGTTCAACTTCATAAACTTTTCCCATACGTATTTCAGCAATAATAAACGCACCGCCTTCACTTTTAGCTTTTCCAATTGTTCCTGCAACTGATCGAGCAAAATAAATCCCTTGACCAATCCATCCAGGACGACCTGGTTGAAATTGACTATGAGCGATAGCGATGGCAGCCATAGGATCAGTTGTATGAAATCCAATATAATGTGGTTGATTATCTATTAATTTTGGTTTTACACAAGGAATTATACTTTTTTTTGGTTCTGTATTTGGTGGTGGTTTTGGAATATCTCTCCAACGGTCCTGAGGTTGATAATCATATGAATGAAAAACAGCAATATGATCAAGTGTTCGTTTATGACATGGCTTTTCAGTACATGGTCGATCTCCTAATGTTCGTGGATCACGAAAAGATCCAATCATATGATATGGTAAATATCTTTCATGTTTATTTGATGTTATATGACAATGAGTATCAAGTTTTGGTGTATAATGCCACCATACCCAATAACGATAGAAATCCAAACAAAGTGTATTAAATATAAATACTAATGAAATAGCACAAACAATAGCAATTAATCCACCATCATTATCACCAACAGGCGCACTCGCATAGAGTCCAATAGCCGTTATACGTAGAACAAAAAAGATAAAGAGTAAAATAAAACGTACTTGAAAACGACGTTTTGGTCTTGCTTTATAACAAGTACAATTACAATCGATAATTAGAAAGCGACGAACACTTTTACTTCCGAGAAGTCCTCGTATCATACCTGATGTAGTGCTACTACTTGGATTCTTCGATTGGAGACGACAACAAATAACACATGTTCTGAAGAAAATCAGAAGAATAATAAGAGCAGTAAATACACCCACTAATGTTGCTACAATTGAACTAATCCAATCAATAATAAATGCAGCTGTGTATTTGGAAGTATATTTCTTATGAACACCTGAAGGTAGAGGTGAGAAGAATACTATAATACGTACAACACCAAGAACCATTTCAAGAAAACCAGTTAAACCATGGAAAAATGGTAAATTTCGATACAGACAAGAACAATGACAACAACACATCTTTAATAAAAGAATCAATGTCCAATGAATCCTTGTATGTCGCTTTCTTGCTGACTGAATCAATCAACTACTTTTTTCGTTCTTCTCTACCGAGGTATTAAAAATATTTACAACTTTTATATATGCCAAGCTGTCCTTTTCATCATGCCACTAAAATTCCAAGAAAAATAAAATCTTTCAAAACATCGTCTGGCAATTAATAAAAAATTCCAACTGACAAATTTCTTCTTTTCTGCCCATATCTACATAATGGCAATCGTGTCGGCGAATGTGGAATAATTGACGCAAGAAAAAACTTTGAAATCATCGTCTGGCAACGAATAAAAGTTCTTTTTTCTCACTGATGCACGTAATGGTAATCCTTTCAATGAATATATAATGATTTATTAGTTATTCAAATTATTAATCAATTAATCATAAAGTTAAAGAAAATGAAAAATTTTCCGTAAATACTATACATTTTTAAAGGACAAATAAAAATCAAGAATCATGTTACTATAAATTCGTTTTTTCATTTATTAAAAATGGCAACTAGAGTGTGGGTGTGGGTATTATAATAATCTTTTGATCAACCAAATTTCGAATTCTAGTGGTTTCAGTAGTACGTTAGGGTTTCTAGGCAATCCGATGCAAATCACACTACTTAAGAAAAAGAAAAAAAGATCAATTGATAGTCAACATTTGAGTACAATGAAGAGAAATCTCTATTTATTAATATAGTAAGAGTTTATGAATGGATAATTGATTGTTGCAAACAAGAGATATTTTTGCACAAAAAATACAAAAGTTTCATTGAATATTTTTGATAGAGTGTTTGTAAATAATAAGATGTTCTTGTAATGAAATATGACTGATTTATAGAAAGGGAAATTCGATGTTAGGAAGTTCATTTGTATTATTGGATTAAAACGTGCTTGGAATGGAGTATCTAAACAAGATATAAATAAAACTAATTGTAATCAATTTTTGTCTAAATCTTATGGAGATGGTGTAACTTTTCTTAAACAATCCAATGATCATATTCTTTTTTCTATTTTTATTCTTATTTAAAAACAAATATCTCAGGTTTATTAGCAATGTATAGTGTTGTTTATTGTAGTATATTTTCTATTGAAAAATATTCTATATTTTATGGTCCTATTCTTTTTTTTAAGTAATAGATCTAACTGGCAACAGGGAAGAAGAATTACGGACTACATGTAGATCATTGAATATTACAGAAAGAAAGAATTAGCATCTTTATTTACCTCTATAAATAGTCCGTAATTTTCATACCCCTTACATTATTGTATATTCAGTCATAGAACAATAAGGATGGTATGTAAAATAACTGTGCTATCTGAAGTTAACATATGTGCTCGTATATTTTTAGAACTACTACGAAACATTAGTCAATCTTTTTGAAACAAATGTGATGGATTTAATAAGAATGTTTTTGATATTACATGAGATACCTTTAATTATTGTTTGGGCAAATTTCTATATTATGTATCGGAACTTAATGAAGAAGCTATTAAATATGGATTAAAAGTAGATGATTTACTATTAATAATTCGTTGAACATACCATTATATGAAATAGATCTAACTGGTAACAGGGAAGAAGAATTACGGATTATATGTAGATCATTGAATATTATAGAAAGAAAGAATTAACATCTTTATTTACCTTTATGCCACATGACAACATAAATAGTTCGTAATTTTCATATCCCTTACATTACTGTATATTTAGTCATACAAGAATAAAAATGGTATGTAAAATAACTGTGATATCTGAAATTACCGAGGTCAATTATAACGACCTGTAAGCGATGCTTTTTCTCTTTTATCAAATCTAGAATAATCTCCACTTCGAATTGAATAGTAAATACTTATTTCAAATAAATAATTTTTTTTCTTTATTTAGATCAATCTCAATGTTGAACTGAACAAAAAGTATTGAAAGGCAGTACTTTATACCAATAGGAAACCGTGTGTAATGGCTCAAAAACAGACGAAAAGAACCGTGTATATGTAGTCGTAAACGTCTGGAATCGATGCATTTTAGATGTTCTAAATGATCGAACTGGGAGACACAGTGCCCGTCTTCGTAAAAATTAATTCTGGCAATTGTCATAGAATTCTTTATATATTTTCTACTCGGGTGATTAGTCAGTATATTGTCATTTGTTGTAATATATTTGCCATTTTTAAATGTATTATTACTAAAAATAATCAAAGAATCTGAATGAGAAATTGAGACAGTTGAACTATTATACCAAATTGAACTTTGTGTCAACGTCGAATATTGGTGGTCTATTTTTGTATTAATTGTTACTATGTCATACGTATTTTATAAATATAAAATGGATTTACTAATTTTTTCAATATGAATTAGCAATCTGAAATAGATTATGCAATTCTCTTTTTATGAAACAACCTAGTTTGTATTATTATGATTATAATAGAGCCTACATGATTCTACAGGCTCTCTGTTTATTGTTCTGTATAAATAAAACATCATAGCAACATACAATAAATAAAAGAAAAATAAGAAAAATATTTACTCGAGGAATTATTTTTTATTGAGAAAAAAAGTACATTAGAATATGTTGTTATGATAAATCAATATTTAACTAATTTTGAACTTCTAAAAGCACTATTTGTTTTAATTTATGTAATAAATAGGATGTTAGCTCTATGCAACATAAATATAAAACTCAATTGTTTGGATCGTTTTGAGATTGATGAAGAAAAATGTGATTGTCTATTTAATTAAAAATTATAATCAATCATAAATGGGACTATAACAAAAAAAGAGATTTTCAAAACGTTGTTATACTTTGTGTTATAAGAACTTAAGTCCAATGTTTTTGATTTTGAAGAAGTGTTCAGTTTTTTTGTCTAGGCAAACAAGTCATGTAATTATTCTTCGTTTAGATATTAAAGATTGCCTTTATTCTATATAAATAATGTGACAGTGCACTGACACGTATTCAAATTTGTATATATAAATAAATTTCAATTGAATTATTTTCATTTTTATAAAAAAAATGTCATCTCCAACTAAATGTTGATTATATTTTCTTTTTAAATTCAATTCCGTTAGATTAAATCGTTCTTTATGTTTTTCATCTTTCACATAACTCAAAAGCGCTATTGATAAATATATTTGTTCTCAAATAACATTTAAGCACCTAGGAAAATCATATCTCCGAATAAGTAAATATTTTTGAAAATAAAAGAAGATTTCACTACTTTTGTTTGATTACATTGATAAAATGAATTCTGGTAAAAAGACGTCGGGACTGTTTTTCCGCTAGATTGATGCAATGAATTCTAGGAAAAAGACATCGGGACTGTTTTTCTACAGATCAATAAAATGAATTCTCGAAAAAAGACGTCGGGACTGTTTTTCCGCTAGATTGATGAAATAAATTCTGGGAAAAAAATATGCAGTACTCACTAAAAAGAGAGAAAAAAACAAATTTATTGTTCAATAAATACTTTTTTTTCTATTATGAATTGAATTTATTTGATTACCTTAGAATCTGGTGGTTGATGGCTTCAATAAGAGTTTGTTTATGGCTTTTGTTTATAATTATTACACAAGTAGTCGGAGAAGATACACAATCAATGATAATGTTTTTAATGATTAGTTTCAAGTTTCAATGTGCGAACACAACTTGTTTACCATTTAATAATGTTATTCCATCAAACATCAGGAATTGTCAAGTAGCCTGTTTGACTCAAAGTCAATGCATAGCAGCAACTTTTCATCAATCAACTTCAAATTGTGAATTATTTGATAATATGTTGAACCAAAATGGAAATATATCAGCAGATGTGGATGCTACTAGTATGAATATTATTAGTGGAACACGATTTCCATCGGGTCAGTATAAAACTAGAAGAGATTTATAAAAAAAATATATCTGTGAGAGAGAATAATTTATTTTCTTCTTAAAAAATAATCTCAAGTTATCGACAGTTAAGACGACTTGACAGAGATATCGGACACACTTGTGTGTAAATCACCAATTGAGTCGGTTCAAACTGACAGAAAAAGAACATTAAGCCAAATTCTTTTTTGAATTAAACGAACTGTTTCAAGATTTATTTTTCAAATTCTACTTTGAGAATACGTTAGTAAAACGAAATCTCTTTGACACTTGAAACTAAACAATCAATAGCACCAAATATTAAAAGAATAATGAAGAAAAAATAAAATAATTATCCAATGAAACGTCTATGAGTATTATGCTTTTCATATTCATCAATCTATACAAAATATCGATATTTATTAAACAAACTTTCATTGGATAGATCCTTAGGAAATAAAGAAGAAATTACAGTATTTCGTTTATTACGTTGATGGTCACAAGTAATTTGAGGTTAGTATTGCACTTCGCTGAAGCGTGGAGAAAGATTGAAAGTAAACGGGAACTTTGTCACTTTTGAATATTATTGAAATATGTCATGTAAAAATTATCTTCTGTCTTTGAAAGAATTTTTTAAGAATATAACTAGACACACTAAAATAATAAAGAATAGTGAAAAGAAAATAATAAATTAGATCAATCTACGCTCATTCAATTTTGTGATCTTGCCTCTTTCAGTCAGAATTAGTTTCTGATCAGAATCTCATCTTAAATAAAAAAATAAAAGATTTCAAGAAAAGAATAAATGTGCAAATCTTATATGACTTAATTTGTGTGATTCGAAAAGTTTGATTATTAAACTTATCAAGAAATGAAAATTAAGTTGTCACAACTATTATAATTAAGATATACTTGAAGTAAATATCGTAGAATTACAATTATAATGGGAATCATTTAAATATTTCCTATTTTATTATGATCAGCTCATACTTAACGTCGATACATTGTTACAGAAGAAGAAACAATCTTATCCAATTGTTTAGTCTGAATCTAAAATCATTTTTTCAATATAGAACCGACTACGACATCAACATCAACATCAACAACAACATCATCATCATCATCATCAACAACAACAACAACAACAACAACAACAACAACAACATCAGCAACAGCAATACCAAGTCAGTACTATGTTAAATGATTTGTAGTAGCTCAAACGATAATTACTCGAAATGAGGATATCTTTAAGTTTTTGATTTTAGCTAATGAATGACCGTCAACTAGATAGATAAGATCAGAGAATATTTCCTATCAGAAGTCGAAATAAGGCCAATTTTTGATGACTTTATTTGATCTACACTCGTTTAAGTATTGAATATTCTCATCCAGTTCAACAGTATTAGGCGAAAACGTTGTTGATAAGAAGCGTGCCATACCATATAACTCATTGATCGTTTTAGTAATCACTCACACCAATCTCGAGATGATCGGAATCAGAGATGGGCAACTCCAACTCGTAGTTGGAGTTAACTCCGGAGTTGACATTTTAACTCCTTGGAGTTGAAGTGGAGTTGGAGCGGAGTTGAAGCAGAATTTTGTAAAAAATGGGTAGAGTTGGAGTGGAGTTGATGTCTGTTTGGAGTGGAGTTGGAGCGGAGTTAGAGTGAAGTTGATGTCTGTTTGGAGCGGAGTTGGAGCGGAGTTGGAGCGGAGTTGGAGTGGAGTTTTGTGAAAATGGGTGGAGTTGGAATGGAGTTAGTTTTCGTTGTTTTTTCCAACTCCAATTTAACTCCTGTTGACTTCATTTGTTATCGAAATTAACATCGATTAGATGTATTCTTGATTTGTCGAAATAAAGATCTCAAAGTTTTATAGACAAAACATAAATTGATAATCATGTTTTTACTTATTGGTTTCAAATAAAAATGTTTCCTGATAAATCTGTACTTTTTTACAATCGTATTGATAAAAAATCGACTTATTAAATCGGAGTGGAGTTAGATGGAGTTGGAGTTGGAGTGCATTTTGACAAAATTGGAGTGGAGTTGGATGGAGTTGGAGTGGTGTACCCCCGCAGTTGCCCATCTCTGATCGGAATAATTCTACACGTCGAAGTACTAGTTGACAGAATATCGACATGACACAAGTAACGCTCGTCCGAAGACTCGCTTAGCTCTTTCTCGCACAAATGCATCCTCTTCATATTTACTGGAAAAACAATTGAAAACCTTGCTCTCGTTTGTTGTTCTTTACTCTTAGCAAATACTCGCATCCTATTCAGCGGTAAACGCAGATCGAAACATATTAGAGTTATCGGCATGCGTGGCTTGTCGAACTAGTCTTTAACGAATGAGCGAAGTGTTAGTAATCTTATATGCAAAAAAGTCAGCCGATTATGGTCGCCATACTCTGCACTATAACCAGGGGAACATTTGGATACCTATAGGAAAGCATTACCCAAAAACTGGATTTATATCAGTCAGCACCACTTTTTGCAATTCGCCCCTGCCCCCTCCCTTCAGTAGTCTGAGCGAATATGGCCCACATTCGAACTCCTCGCATCGAAAAACCTCTAGAAATGTCTTTTTTGAAAAATCGATTTTCGATGTTTTTTTTACCTTTCACCCACACCCAACCACCCCTAACCATGGCTACCCGATATACCCCAAATTCGAAGTCCCACATCGAAATACATCTAGAAACGTCTTTTCCAGAAAATTAGTTTTCAATGCTTTTTTTGCCCCTGCGGACATACAATCAAACAAGCAAACAATTTATGATTACTGGACTCTTCTCTACGAGAAAGAGAGGATGTCTATCAACACCTTATCTTATGTTTTAGGTTGCATTTGTATATAGCTGAGGAATTCAAAAAAATCACTTAATAATATAAGATACAAACTTCAAACTCGAGAAAAACGCATTTCATCGTCATCAATTAATCCTTAGTGTACTGATTTTCTCATAACAACGATTTGTGAATTATATTCTCTTATTCACAGTCACATCCTCATTGACATCCATTCTTGTCTACATCACGTCATATACATACACCATCTATCTAAGATGGTGAAATTACATCTTGTTTCCACTATGTTGAACAATGCAGAATGAGTTTCGCTCAAGTTCTGAAATTCGATCATTATTCATCATAACTGAATTGTAGCACAATGCTGGGGTTTCATCAGTTCGCGACACCGATAAATCTCAAAAAATATCAGTGAAGCCATTTAGAACATAATTTTTATTAGTTCGATTTAACATTCCATAATGAATCTTATCTTAGCCATGAAAACAAAGAGAAGTTTATTGAAGGTTTGAGATCATGTAATCTGTGATCAATAGATAGACAACTTATGTATATGAGAGATTTGAAGTTATTTTAAGAACAACGTTTATTACTCACTTCTCTGCCTTATCTAGAATGGACAATAACAGGCAACATGAATGGTGCGCGAGATTGGCACACAGCATCCACATTAGTAAATGGATCAGTGTTGGTTACAGGTGGAAACAACGGCAGTGTTTATCTCAATAGTGCTGATTTTTACAATCCATCAACAGGTAATTGGACAACCACAGGAAGCATGAATACCGGACGAATTGCTCAAACAGCATCCACATTAGCAAATGGATCAGTATTAGTTACTGGTGGGCGTAGCAACATTAGTATTTATCTCAGTAGTGCTGAATTGTACAATCCATCAACAGGTATTTGGATAACCACAGGTAACATGGGTGCTGCACGAGGATATCACACAGCATCCGTATTAACAAATGGATTAGTATTAGTTGCTGGTGGAGACAACAGCGCTAGTTATGTCAATGGTGCTGAATTATACAATCCATCAACAGGCACTTGGACATCCACAGGAAACCTGCGTCTTGCTCGATATTCTCACACAGCATCCACATTACCAAATGGATTAGTATTAGTTACTGGTG